TTGTGTTGAACAGCGTCCGTAAATGGATGAATGCTCTTTGATGTCTTTCCCGGCTCGAAAACGAGCAACGAGCCCTGATACTAATAAGGGTAAGGCGATCATATACCAGGGCAGACGAGGTGTTATGAAAACAGTGTAACAAACATATTAAAACAAACCACAAACACCACAGCCGCAGATGGCCAGCCACATACACCGGCGCCATCTTGCCACGAAGTTCTAACGTTCTTAAGCACATAAGAAAAAACAGCTGACCAAAACTCACTCATATCACTCACTAAACGCCAGCCCTCTTTCTACTCATAAAAAAACACTGAAAGACTATTTAAAACTGGAATTTAAACACAGTCAGACCACCTTAGACATCTGTACAGTGTACATGCATATTGTAAGGGGAAAAAATGGCTGCAAGATACAGGCTCATGTGTTTGTATCATAATTCTGCACTATTCTATCACTCCCAGGGGCATAGCTCTCTTAAAAAGGAAGAGACTCTACCATACTCCTCCATGTCCACCAGGGAGGCCCTATCCATTTGGGTTGATAACTTATTTAAGAGCTCCAGAGCCCCTTGGCATTTACTGCACCAGAGATAGAAAGAATGAGACAGAGAAGCCAGGAGACGGGGGGCGACAGTGGTACGGTGGGTTGAGCAGCTGTCTCCCAACCGGAAGGTTGAGGGTTAGAATTTCGGTGCCTGCAGTCCACATGTCGAAGTGTCCTTGGGCAAAACACTGAACCCCCTAAGTTGCCCGTGATGGTGGCGTGTATGCACACAGCGGCCCGGGGCCCTCGGCTCTAAATAAAATTTCGTTGTACGCGTTACAATGACAGTAAATAAAAAAGCTTCTAAACACTTCTTCACTGCTCATGCGATCAAAATCTCTAGTTTAATTATGAAAAAACCTGGGCAACACTTCCTTTGGCTTCCAGTGCTTTTAAAATTATACATGTGAATTTTGTTCATTTTCTCCTGAACATTCCTTGCACTGTTATCTGTGCAGCTGTGAAGCTTTATGATGAACCCTGGGGATAGGGAGCCATGTTGGGTGGATACCTGGAACTTTGTCAACAGGCTGGGATGTACTTCTTATGAAAGAGGTCACAGTGATTACACCTGACATTCATCACCACAGTTCATCACTCCCTCCTGCCTGTTGTGTGGACATTTCAACTATGTGTCTGTTTCTCATTACGCTGGAGGGAACACGTTTTTAAAAATTATAACCGAGGGTCTGGATTTAGTCGCTCACACTGCTTTACTGAAGAATCTCCCATCACTGCGCTGGTTGCTTGTTCACTTTATGTAACAAATGAAATGGCCAGTTTCACTTGCCAGTTCCATTTTGTAATTTAACAATATACTAAATGTCCACAAATCCACCGTTGTGTAACATGATTGTTCTACCACCTTTTGTTCAGCCTGTCTTCTTTCCTGCCAAGGCGCATCTGCCTGTGCTTAATACTTAATATCTTTGTTTTCAATTTTCAGTAGTCTGTGCAGATTCTCAGTCATCCAGGTCATAGTAAACTGACCTTAGAAAAAAATCAACTGGACTTATATAGGCTCAATTTCTCTTATTAAGCCTCTTCCGGCTCTTTCAAACCAGGAACTCACAAAGACGAAGTAGACCACTTGGATTATATAAAAAATAACCGTGCTGGTTTATTCAGAGGATCACAAAGAACAATTTGACATGACATTTCACATTAAGAAAATATTATGATTAGCATTACAGTTAATAATAACAATCATCCCTGCCTGTAGCCTTTGTCTTATTTAATTAACCTTGGCCTCAATACAGCCTGCAGAGCTCATGACACTGACTAAACAGTTAACAGCCTGAACTAGACATCCTGGCTACACTAAACATTTCTAGACAACAAATCTCTAAATATCTATGTGACTAAGAAATTACCTAACACTTAGATATCTAGATCGAAGACGTTTCACCTCTCATCCAAGAGGCTTCATCAGTTCTGACTGACTGGTGTTGAGCTGGAGATATTTATCCCCCTTGGCGGTGTTTCAGTCCTCTGAAGACCAACAACGTCCTTTATACGACTGAGTCGTTGTAGCCCAGTATCGGTGAGAGTCGTTACCCGTCTTTGAAACCTCCCCTGTGGACCGACGCCTATTGTCCTGGTGGGCATGTTTGGGCAGAGATCTCAAAACAGGATTGTAGATGGGTGACAAGTTTTGTCTTAATCCACCACCCCTATTTAGTGAGGGGTGTTCTATTTTTACAAAAATAGCTTCCTTAACTCCTCTCTCAAACCAGCAATGTTCTCTGGAAAGGATCTGGACTTCACTGTCCTCAAAAGAATGTCCTTTGTCCTTCAGGTGGAGGTGGACTGCTGACTCTGGTCCACTGGAGTTGGCCCTCCTGTGTTGGGCCATGCGTTTGTGAAGTGACTGCTTAGTTTCACCAATGTACAAGTTGTTACACACAGTAAATATCTTTGATGCAATGCCATTCGGGCAGAACTGATGAAGCCTCTTGGATGAGAGATGAAACGTTTTCGATCTAGAAATCTAGTCCAGTTGATTTTTTCTAAGTTTTTCCATCTTACTATGACCTGGATGACTGAGAATCTGCACGGACATGTCAGTTAGAACAGACCCTAATGACATGCTGTTGTTACCTCATTTACAAGTCCACCTCTGGCTGCTAAATGTGTAACCTACTTGTCTAAACTGTCCACAAACTAAGCAAAGGGATTAAAAGAATAGCAAAATATCCTTGGCAGCTGAACAACCTAACTGGATGTCTTCCACTTACCACTTATAATCTTCCAAAAACTGAATGATGGCTAAACAAAGAAAAAAAAATAAACAACAATACGACTTTTAACCAGTGCATGCCAGAATTCACAAAAAATGCACTTGAGATGTTAATGTAAGAACAAAAGTTTACATTTCACCTCTCAGATTTACTGCACTAGCTCAATAACTCAGATTAGTTAATCTCAGGGAACCTTGGTAAAAAAGTGGGCTTTAAAAATGCTGATAGTTTCCCTCTGTTCCGTACCAGCCCAGTCTTCGTCTGTGGTCAAAGAGCTGAAAGATGTGGAAGTCGTGGCCCCCGATGAAGCCTGCTTTGAATGTGAGATATCAGTCCCTGTCGTCAAAGACCCTGTATGGACTCTGAATGGGGTGCCCTTACAGCCGAGTTCTCGGGTATGTGTGCAGAAGCGGTTGACGTTTCTGTGTAGTATGGGGCTAGCCCAACCGAGGTGATATAATGTATAGGCCTGGTGGGCTCAGGGTCTTTCATCTTACATCTGCCTGCGTGCAGTGTGGAGGTGCAAGATACCTGAGCGTGTAATGTTAATTTTACCTGTGATCCTTTGACTAAATCAGCACTGTTTTGTAGTTACTTGGACTGCCTCGTCTCTCAGAGTCAGTATGGTAAAAAGTACGGGGTACAACAAAATCTAAGTCCAGTTGATTTTTTCTAAGGTTTTACTTCAATTTTCAGTAGTCTCAATTTCTGATAAGGAAGCAGACATTCAAAAAAGGCGTCGTCTCTAGTGAGTGAGCGGCACAAAGACCATGATGAGAAAGATACAGACACACAGGTCTCTGTATCTCTGTCTTTCAGTAGCTGCCTCTCTGTACACTTCGCTTCATCTCCAGAGACAAAGCATGTGGTTGTGAACAGCAGCAAAACTCTAACATTATGTCACAGTTTTCTCTCTGTTGTCTAACTATTCCTGGAGTTGACAGTTTGTGTTCATTATAGTAACTGTTGTAAAATGTGGTAAAAACAGAAAATATTAATCAACTATACAAACTTGTATACAGAGAAGGGTCATTTTCACTCACCCACGCAGTTGTCGCACAGGCTGCAGTGGGAGGCACGTGGTGGTCTGAAGATCTTGCAGGTGAAGCAGTATTTCAGTTTGACCGTCTGACCGTTGATGACCACCTCCTTGGTCCTGGGCGGAGGCCTGTAGCCTGTACTGCCATTAGCCACGTCTTTGAAAAAAATCAGAGAGAGAAAGACATAAGATACATCAGAATCTAAGTTAAAGCCTCGCTGCCAGGTTTTCCCCGAGTTTTATTTAGATGCTAACGGACTCCCACATATTGTACTATAGTGTGTGAGTGGCACTGATGACATGAGCGCTAGGAAGAATACTATGTATATTTGAAAAACATTGTGCCCATCACAGTAAAGTGCAATAAAAGCTAGGCTAAAATCTCTTTACTTTGCAGCCTATTCATCTTCTTTTTATTCTTTATTAAGTGCAGCACCACTCACTTTTTAACAACCTATACTGTCTAGATGATGCAGCCCAAACAACAACAAGCAGCACATTGTATGAAGGCTAAAGGTTGTTAATGGCTAGCAAATGTAATGCAGTCATGCTAGAATAAATGTCATGCTGCCACACCTAAAAGAAAAAAAGTGATTCTTGAATCATTATTTCTTTTACACAGGGACATTGAATTTGTACAATCTGGCACTTTGGACACTTCAAAAAGTGCAGATAACACATTTCTTTATGTGTAACATGAGCCAGTAGTATCCACTAGATCTTAGTCTCTTGTTTAATTTGCCTTGAGGGCAACAAATCTCATCAAGGGTTTAGTAAAATGAAAGCTTTACTGATACTCCATTATTTTTACTCATAGAAGTACACGTCATGCTATAGTTTCTTAAAAGACCCAAATAACTCATTATTTTTAAGTTGAGCTTTTGGTGCAGAAGCTATACAGATGCTGCTGCTGTATGCCAGCCAGAACCAACCTGTCTTTATTATATTAACATCCGTCTGGAATTCAGCATGCACTTAACATCACAGTCCTCAGACTGAAATACAAAAAAGGAAATGGTGGCAATGGCTTTTGGTGGAGTAAGCCAGCAGGCTAAACGGTAAGGATGAGAGCAATGATTTTCAAGCCATAAAAGGCAGAGCCTGTATCCTTTTATTGCTCTGCTCGCTCTGCTCTGAGTACACTCAGCACTCTCGTGTGCCATGAGAGTAGGAGCTCATAGTACTGCTAACAGTCGTGTGTGTGTTGGTTTGGGGGGGGGGCTTATGTGGGTGTTTGACATTTCTAAAGGAGAGAGGAGGAAATGCAGCTACTGAGTTCTGTTCTATTGAATTTGTCTCTATTGTGATCAATGCATACAGATCCCTTTCTCCACACTCCCTGCTGCTCTGCCCTCTCTAGACATTGACAAGGAGACAACGAATAAGAAGAGCCTGTGAACAATTCAGCTACCCCACTCTTAAGCCATCAAAAGGAGCTCCACTGTTTAGGTAACCACAGTGCAGTAAAATATACTGTAATACTGGTTCCTGTCAGGTCACCAAAAGACTTATGACAACCAGCTTTAGGCTTCTTCTGAAACTTTGTATGTTTCACTTATCAATGAACAAACCTTTTGCTTGATGAAACTATGAGACTTCCAAGTCGGAATAAAAGGGCTGCAGAAAACTGTGAAGTGGAAGCAATAACAGCATCACAATATAGTTTAATCCAATAAACTCAACAATGCAGTATACACTATTTAACTCCCTTTGCAAAGACTTTAATGTTAAATTTTGGACTACCACCAGGTGGACAAAAATAATATCAATACAACATACATACATAGTATAATTAACATATGGATGTAATATTGTTTTGTCCACCTGGGAACAAACATACCAACACAATACACAACAAACTCAGGTGCTAAAGACAACTGGAAGGGTTGAATCAGCACATTTTCATCTCTACAAAAACAATCTTGGCAATCTTATCAAATCCATGAAACATGCAGTTATACTTGGTGTGTTACTAATCGATGTTGGATCAAAGTTGAAGACTGGACAAAGATCATGGGGTCCTCTTCTCATATATCAAGATTATATACTTTTTCACATACTAATATTTTATTGATGAATAAAGAAAATGCTCTTATATAATCTGTGCCAAAAAAAATTTCAATAGCATGAGAGTTGCTGGTTTGTCGGCATCATGTTCTGTGTACAGACAAAACAAAACATTCTACTTACAACCCAGTGTTAAATACCTGACGCTAGATACCAGAAACAACTGTCATCACCCCCTAGCTACACTTCAGCAGCCCATCAACATTCACTATGCTTGTTCACAGATGCCTGCAGTGGTGGGTGAGTGGATGTATTGAAGTAGCTTTTCTGCTGAACAAAGCCAATTTTACACAGCCATTCTTGCAGCCAGAGCTCAGCCTTCCATCACTGTCTAGTGGAAGATTCCTAGGGGAGACGGGCTGGGCCTAAGAGCTTGACGGTAGAAAATAACGCCAGGTGCACCAGGAAGTGATGCAAGAGAATGCACATACATGTGCTCACGGCTTTTTAGTTAAACTAGAAAAATGCATTTCCTAAATGCGTGTGGCTGCTGATAAGCTGAAAGATCGTCCTGAAAATGCCTGAAATCAATTGCTGAAACAGCTGAAGGATGACAAGAAATGGCTGAAGTTCTTTGTTGAAATAGTTGAGAAGAAATGGCTGAAATTCTTTGATGAATAATCTGAAGGATGAGATGCAATAAATACAAGTAGGAATGCCCTTGAAGAGCTAAACAGTTTGATACCTGAATGGCTTTTCTAGCTTAAAGTATGCTGAACCTAATAAGATGTGAAAATATTCCAATTGGTCCCTGCAAAGTAGGTAAAACAAGTAGGTGTGTGTGTGTGTGTGTGAGAGAGAGAGAGAGAGAGAGAGAGAGAGAGAGAGAGAGAGTAGGTGTGTGTGTGAGAGGGAGGGGGAGAGAGAGAGAGAGAGAGAGGAGTTATGAAGCGCCATGTCTCAATTGCGCTGCATTTTATGAACCACCAGATGACACTCCAGGACTGTGTCATTGACTCAGCACTTTGAACTCCCATTGACTTGTATTGTAAACAAAAAGCTGAATAAATTAAGAAGTATAAACATTATAAAAAAGTTGAATGCAAGCAGAAATGTCCTTGAAGAGCTGAACAGGTAGATAAGCGAATGGCCTGTATAGCTGAAAGTATGCTGGACTTATAAAGTGCCAAAAAACGAACAGAAGATCCCAGAATAATCAGGAGAACATAGTGCGGATGCTGGAAAGCATCCGCACAATAAAGGTTCATTGTCAGCCAAGCTGTGCTAGGCATTGCCTGGTGAGGCATAAAGGGAAACTACATTGGCATCCTGCTGTGTATGTGAGGTTGAGAAAACTGGTGTTGTTACCTTTACAGATGGACATATGTACTAGAACACAATGAATACAGCGATGATCGCTAACATACAGAAGGACTGACCTCAAACTGCTCCCATGCAGCATACATTCTCTGTTATATCCATCCATCCATCCATCCATCCATTTTCCTTCGCTTATCCGGAACCGGGTCGCGGGGGCAGCAGTCTAAGCAAAGATGCCCAGACTTCCCTTTCTCCAGACACTTCCTCCAGCACCTCCGGGGGAACGCCAAGGCGTTCCCAGGCCAGCCGAGAGACATAGTCCCTCCAGCGTGTCCTGGGTCTTCCCCAGGGCCTCCTCCCGGTGGGACATGCCCGGAACACCTCCCCTAGGAAGGTGCCCAGGAGGCATCCGAAACAGATGCCCGAGCCACCTGAGCTGGCTCCTCTTGATGTGGAGGAGCAGCGGTTCTACTCTGAGCTCCTCCCGGGTGACAGAGCTCCTCACCCTGTCTCTGAGGGTGCGCCTGGCCACCCTGCGGAAGAAGCTCTTTTCAGCCGCCTGTATCCAGGATCTTGCCCTTTCGGTCATGACCCAAAGCTCATGACCATAGGTGAGAGTCGGAACGTAGATCAACAAGTAAATCAAGAGCTTCGCCTTACAGCTCAGCTCCTTCTTCACCACGGCGGACCGGTACATCGACCGCATGACTGCAGAAGCTGCGCCGATGCTCTTGTCAATCTCCTGTTCCATCCTTCCCTCACTTGTGAACAAAACCCTGAGATACTTGAACTCCTCCACTTGAGGCAGGAACTCTCCACCAACCTGAACAAGCCACCCTTTTCCGACTGAGAACCATGGCCTCGGACTTGGAGGTGCTGATTCTGATCCCAGCCACTTCACACTTGGCTGCAAACCGCCCCAGTGCACGCTGGAGGTCCTGGCTTGATGGAGCCAACATGACAACGTCATCTGCAAAAAGCAGAGACGAGATCCTGTGGTCCCCACACTGGACTCCCTCCGGCCCCTGGCTGCAGCTAGAAATTCTGTCCATAAAAATAATGAACAGAACCGGTGACAAAGGGCAGCCCTGCAGGAGTCCAACATGCACCGGGAAAAAGTCTGACTTACTGCCGGCAATGTGAACCAAGCTCCTGCTCTGGTTGTACAGGGACCGGACGGCCCTTAGCAAAGGGCCCCGGACCCTGTACTCCCGGAGCACCCCCCACAGGGCACCACGAGGAACATGGTCGAATGCCTTCTCTGTTATATTCTTATATATTTTTTATTATATTGCTGCATTTGCTGCTTAAAGTGCCTTAGATTTTGTGTTACTTATTTATCTACTTTATATTTCATTTGTATTTTGTGGCATTCAAGTGGACGGCAAAGTAAGAATTTCATTGTACAGGGAAACATGTTTCCTAACTGTGCATATGAGAAATAAACACTTTGAACTTGAACTTTGAACTTGAACCTGACTGACAAGATGTAGAATACAGCAAATTCTGTTTGGTCTGTTGATAACATACTATAAATGAGTGAGTGAATAAAAATCATTATATCCTAAAGCCCTTTTAGACTTTTCTCAATTAAGAATATTAAAAATAAACACCAACTTTCTAAACATTAGAAGCTGGTTCAGTCGCCCGATGGTGTTTAAATGTGAGTTAAACAACAAAAAAGTGAACGAGGTGACAGTGCAGTGTTGGATACTTTGCAGGTAGGTGCAGACTATTAATGAGTGAAAATGAGTGAAACCTCATTTGGCAGTTTCTAATTAAAGTACAAAAGGCAATGTAAAATGTGCTGGAAAAAGTCATGACTTCCAA